GAGTCTATAGTGCCTGCTAATTTTGAGTGAGAGTGTTAGTTAGGTCTTCCGTATTTTTGTTTTTCTTGTAGAGGTTGCCTGGAGTTTTCTTTCCATGTGGCTTGTTTATTTACCCTTCCCCCACCAGGATCCTGTCAACACTTCCAACCTCATGGGTAGGAAAATGTCAGAAAGCCAAGGGGCCATTAGTGTGTCCGGGATTCTAGCCTTTTACCTTCCATTAACCCTCCAACACCAGTATTACCTCCGGCAAGGAGGTTGGGTTTTCGGTGGTGTTTGTTGTCTTTCAGCAGGAAAACGGAAAGACTACTTGCCCAGTTTTCATGAAACTTGGTGGAAGGGTATAATATGTGCCAAGGAAGAACCCACAACATTTGCGAGCGGTTCCGAATCACAGGGCGGATACATTTTTCACTTGCGTTAACATTGCGAGATAGGTCAATTGTCAGCTGAGATGCTGAGGCACAACCATATTTTGACATACTGTATTTATAGTAGTTTTGGAAATATATCCAGACAATATACATTGTGTGGATGTGCTTGCAGATTTGCATATCATAGAAGACTGGACAAATGCCCTTGAAAGTGGTCTGCGCAATCTGTATGGCTCTATTAGTGTTGGAGTGCTGGAAGAAAAATCTCAGGGTTGAAATAACAGATGCTGCAAGGTGCACAATGTTTTCATGTTAAGATGGAATTAAAATCTAACCAAGGTACTATATATGGGTATGCCTACCTATTGTAGGATATTTCAGCATCAACAGATCTGTAACAACTGATAATTACCACTGCCGGAGCTGTCAAACTGTGAGCTGCTCCATGCTAAACCAATGTCCAGCTTACATCTAAACAGCATTTAAGGGTTTAAAGTGTCAGAACAAAATGAAAGGACAAAGAAGAACACTGGTATTACAGTTTCTCGCCAACTAGCAAGTGCTTATGCTTCATATGGCAAATAAATGTTAATACGGAGCAGCACATTCCTTTTAATGTGAATTTAGACTGTTAAGTTAGACTTATGAAATGAGGACTTTACTCTTAAAACTAGCTTTATGATCCACAAAGCAAAATGCCCCCAAGGCAATTGGTAGTTAACAATGCTGTACTAAAGCTGAGCATGGTGCACATGAAGAAGAAAGAACGTCTTATCTGGATATGCACATCTCTACATTTGTTCAAACGAATGTGAGAGAATCCCCCTATTCTGAGTACACTATTACCATATGCTGAAAAGGCAAGGTTAGTGGTTGCTTAAACTGGTTTGAAATCTGGAGAGGGCGGGGAGGAGTTGAGAAAGAAGATGCATGTAAACCACAGCACTCCTCCCTCACACACGGAGAAGATTAATTCCAATGTGATATGATGAGAGCGAGCACTTCACGCTGTTCACCCATTAAATTTGAGGCTGCTAAATGTTTCGCTGAAACGTTAGGAGGACATTCAACTACCATATCTAATCTTAACTGACCATATGACCCTCCACAAGAGCTGGGGCCAAACCATATCAGACGGCGCACGGTGAACAAAAACAAATAATAATACACCAAGGCTTCGAATGTCATGACTTTCCTAATAATGATCAGATGTTGTTAAGCTCTCCCTTTAGCCAATTTGAAGTCAAGCCTCGCCACAAAGCACTGAGCACACTTGAGTCAATAAGCCAGTTAGCAGAAGGGAAAGTAAAAAGAATTCAATTCTTGATTTATTTAATAGGGGATTTGGCGTGGCAGGTCAGGGGGTGTAATCCAGGAGATTGAACACTGATTCTCTAATCGAGTGGCTCGACAGTACATCTCCTTTCTCCCCTCCCCATTTCACTCTTGTAAGAGGATCCCCCTTGTGTAGCAGTGAATTTCAATGGCCCACTGCTGGTTCAAACACCCCCTCCCCTGTTTAATTGCAGCTGCATGGAAACCAGATGGAGATAAGCAGTACAGTACATCAATAAGTCAAGCCTCCTGCTTTCCCTCCATGGCTAAGAGAGTAATTCAGTAATTCAGCAATCATGAACAATAACTCAGTTCATTGGCAAATAGCAACTACCAGTCAGTGCAAAAAACCTTGAGCCTGCGTATCAGGAAACTGGCAAAGGCAGGCTAATGAAGCCGCAGTGAATGGTGGAGAGAAAAAAAAAGCAGCAGTTTGGTGGCTGTGTGCCATGCTCAGGTCCCAGCGGTGCAGCGGATCTCTCAATGTAGCAACAGCCTCGGTTTGATTCTGCATATGCTGCTCGTTTCTGCTCGCTGTCTCTGAAAACCTGGGTTTCTGTCTTGATAAAGCCATGAGGGAGACTGCTGTTGCTTTTAAAAAAACTACATCCTCCTAGAAACACTGTGATTGGGAATTAAACTCCGCAACCTCTCAAATTCAACACCAGCAACGCCCTGCCTGCTTAAAGAAGCCAAGGAAGTAGTGTGCTGACTGTAAGGTCCATTTTATGCAATTTATGCACTATTCTTTACTATAAAGTGTTACCTCAGATAAGTGCTGAAATAAGTGCTGACAATCGTGTCTCCGTCACCGGTACTTAAAAGAAATGTCTTATCTGTCTCTGGAGTATTTATGTTAATGGTACATCCTCAACTGTAAGTTTACCGCAGCCAAATTGTAGCGTTCTGAGAAAAAAAAAGCTCATGCTGGGCTTCTTGAACAGATGGCAATATCCCAGTTCCTGGATTCAAGGCAGGTATTGACAGTTCAGAGCGCATAGGTACTCACCACTAGAATACTAAATCAAATCACCATACATTTGTCTTGTTACATTGAATAAACCCAGTCAAGCACACACACATGTTCAAACAACACACAGTCTTGCACACTCACGCAGATATCTTTATCATATAAACCAGGAGACAATGAATTCATCCCCATGGATCTGCCCCGCCCTGTCCCTGAATCCCCGAGCATGAGTAATTGTCGGGCCCTGTGAAATAATCGTAGCTTTCAACGCTAATGGAAGCCCTGCACATTAATTATTCAGTCCAGGAAGCAGAGTGCTTCAAAATGTCAAGGGACCTCTGAGTTATTGCTCAGCGTGAACTAACCTTAGACTGCGAGGTAAGTGACAGAAGCCCACTGCACTTTCTCCTGCTCTGTCCCTCATCCCTTTATGTCTCCTTTGCCTCCCTCTGTTCCTCTGCACAGGCAGACACAGAGAACCAGAGACCATGGCACAGCTGTGGCGTGGTCAGATGGCCGGTGATGGGTGTACTGTTGTGGCTGCGGAAAGGATGACAGACGGCCTGGGCTCTCTTGTGTCACTGCAGCGCTTGACCACAGACAGCCATGACTGCTGGGGAGAGGGCCCTCCTGGGACTGCTGCGGGATTTACGAGGAGAGCAGAGGGAGGAATGCGGCAGCAATGGGGGGTGGGTTTACTGACCTGCAGATAACACATGGCAAGAAAGAGATAGGTTTGATATGAGAACATGCCCGCACTTGTGCTCAGGCAAACGGACACCTCGAGTTGGGCTGCCACAGACTGAGCCTGAGAATACTGTTGATCCGCACTCCTAAAAAGCAACACACATCAGACAGAATTCCAGCAATGCACTTAAGCCTTCTACATTTCCTACGTCTAGACCTTGGAAGCCTTGCTGTTACTCAGCTTTAAAGCGAATGTGAAGGGAGTTAGACCAAGGTGAAGCACGGTTTCAGGACCACTGAACAAGCAGAGAGATGCCATACTGATGTACAGCACAAATTTAATTCAAACTTGAAATACTCAAAAGTATCCATTCTATATCTGTCTATACTTTAATGTATTTTAGATGTATTTAGTATCCCATTTCTTGAGCATGTAGGACTTGCTATGCTTCTCCTAATGCTTCTCTACAACTTGAGGATTTTTCGTTCCTTCTGCACTGCCACCGCTGTCAATCTGCATTGAATTAAACATGTAGGGAAGTGAACAAATTATTCAGCTCATGGCAAAATAACAAAACAAAACACATGCAACTTGGCGAAGCAGAAGTGAACGCTACATGTGCAATATGATCACATCAGAGTTATTTCACCTACGAGAAGTCGTTTCCTGTCTATTCCTGCATTTTGTTAGATATTAAAAGATATACTAGTGTAGATGGGTTTTGTGTAGTTCAGAATGTCTGTCTTCAAGCTATAAAATAACATGAATATCAGCATGAAGATAACAGTTTCAGCGCTCCAGGCGTTAAAAGCCCACATTAGTGGCCCTCTAGTTTACTGGGTGTAATTGAGTATTCTTGTCTACGGCTGCCTTTTCAACTCAGGCAATTTAGCATGCTGGCATGTTGCTATAAAAATGACCCAATTAATTTGATTAGGAAACTAAGGTTCAAGATACAGAGTGTGAAACATGAATCGAATGTTAAACAGTGTGGAGGGATGCTAATGAGGAATAATTTAATGATGGAGATGCATAGAAAGAAATTTGTGTGCACGCATGTTACATTTGGTTTAACAAAAGCCCAGAAACAAGGAGGAAATAAGCAGGAGTTGACTTTATTGTGCCCCCGGTGTTTGTAGGAAAATGATCAAATACTTAGCAGCAGGAATTTTAATAATGGCGGTCTTTAAGAATACAAAACAGGTGCGTGAACTATTAGATACTGAGCAAACTCCATCTGCTGCTGAAGATGGTGAAATATGGTTGAAAGCTCTGTAAAAAGCCTCTGTAAAAAATAAAAAAAGTAAGCGGACCTTGTCAAAGTTTTTTCAGCCACAGAAACTATTTTGTGTTGTGTGACAAACAGCCATATTGTTGCAAGATCTGAAGCAGCTGGACAGTAACACCAATTTTTTTGTTTTTTGCTCTGTACCTGGGTTTTAAAAGAAATAATGACAGTGAAATTAAAGTGCTGACAATTACATTTGAGTGTCCTTAAAGTAAACCTAAACAAATTAAGCACATTGAATGTATATATACATTTGGTCACATTGATTTCCATTAAATGTGTGGCAGAGACCTTTACTGCAGCAATCGTCATCTCATGCTTGTTTCAGGAGGGTTATTTTGCCTTTAGTCTGGTTTATTGCATCAGTTGGATAGATGTCAGGTGAAATGGTATAAATGGTGACTTTGCCTTGAACAATGTACAAGGTAGTTCTCCCAAAATTGGGGGTGTGAAAAGGGCAATGAGTCCAACACTATTAACCCAATGGAGATGTGAACACCCTCAAACAGGCTTAAAGCTAAAGTCATTTCACTTGAACCCCAGTATTATACTTTCATTTCCAACATGCTGGAGTACAGAGCCAAAACAATGAAAGAAAATGTGCTGATCCCACTCACAGTCATCCAGGGACCTCATGGCGACTGGATTCAGGCTGGACTGTCTACTTCATCCCTGCCTGCCTTTGCTTCATTGAGACAGATATTCTGCTTGGTAGTCCACACAGGCACGAAATATAATTTGTTTAAAATGGTGACATTATTTCCAAAGTATTTCTGCCCTAGGTATCAATTATCATAATGGCTGCCTTTGTCAATACCACACCAATCCTCTTAAATTGTACACACAAAACGCAGCGCGGTGCACTTGCCCCGCTCCTCTCTGAACCCTCCTTCCCACGATCCGCCCACCATCTCGGGACTGGAGTCACGTGTCTCATCGCCTAGTGTCTCTCTGCGAGCCCACACCACCACATATCAAACTCACCCAGCGCCCGGCGGAGAGAGAAAGGGAGATGAGAAGCGGTGAGGTGTACGCGATCAGAAAGCCCCTACGACAGTGGGCTATAATGGAGAGCGTTCATTAGGGGACATCCGTTGTGGTGATCCCAAATGCTCTCTCTGTTTCCCGCAGAGGGGGGGAATATGACAAGGCATTTGACCAGGACGGGAGATGCGATTCACACTGTTTCGGACACCCTCTTCTTCCTGTGATCTGTCTGAACAGTCCGCCTGTGAGCCGCGGGGTGTACGGGACACGGGGCGCACAGCTCACAGCCGCCCCAGCCCAACTGTGGATTGAACAAAACGGGTTCTTTTTGTATCTTATTTGAACCTGCTGAAAGTCTGTGGGTCTCCGGAGGGGAGGGTGGTCTTCAACATGAGGGCTGCTTCAGCAAACTTATTCGCACTTCTGTTCCTGTGCGCCGTCGCAAGTGTTTTCTACGTCTGGAGCGCGCTGGAGGACCGTTTGGAGCGACACAAACGGAGGTTACCGGGAGGGGGGTCTTTTCACCAAGGTCTCCCAGTGGACCTCTCCGGCAAAACTTTCCGGGTATTGCTCGCTGTCCCAGCGGCACAAAGACCGCACTTGGGGAGCAGACTTGAGGCTCACAACCTCACTGATCAAACAGTCTCTGCAGGAAATCTAGATTACCATGTGAATGGGGATAACAAGGGGTCAGCTCAGCGGGAGGGCCCGGTCAAGTCAGACTCCCCGGTGGAGGATGGGATATTTTGGAGTGAATGGCTGGAAGGTCTCCTCCCCGTGGGCTTCAAGGAGGAATATGCTCGGTCTTGGCGAGACAGAGCCAGGACATACCGGATAGTGAAGCTGGAGCCTGGATGCGGCAGGATATCTAACCAGCTCGCCACGTTCGCAGATGGGACCAAAGCGTGTGTGCGTTACGGGATAAACGCGGATCAGGTGCAAGGAGAAACTTTGACGTATTATCTTGCCAGTTTGCTAGGCATCACAAACCTGCCGCCGTTGATACTGTCCCAGCTGAACGGTGAAAGTGAACAATGGGCGGCGGTGAGAACGCGGATAGATGGTTTACAGTGGAGTGATCGAGCCGTCGTTTCTCTCACTGAGTGGGTCTCCAACCTGACCGGGGTGGTCACACCGGCGCCGCTCAGACAGGAGAGCAGCGGGCTGCATCCTGCGCTTGAGGGGCTCTGGAACAAGACGACGGCGGAGCTGCTGGGGCTGATGCAGTGGACCGACCTGATCATATTCGACTACCTGACTGCAAACTTCGACAGACTCGTCAGCAATCTGTTCAGCCTGCAGTGGGATTCTCGCGTAATGGAGAGGGACACCAACAACCTCCTCAAAACACCCCGGGGTGACCTTGTATTCATAGACAACGAGGCCGGACTCGTGCACGGGTTTCGGGTGTTAAACATGTGGGAGAAATATCACAATACAGTATTGAGCTCAGTTTGTGTGTTCAGGAAAAGGACCACGCAGCGCGTGGCGGAGCTGCACAGGCGCAGAGACTCCAGGAAAAGGCTGCTGGAGCTCTACAGAGACAGCGAGCCTTTGTCTCTAGAATTGGGATTTCTCTCAGACGAGCACGCTGGTGTTCTCCAGGACAGGATAGACAGGGTATACAAACACATCTTGCATTGCAAAGGAAAGTACGGCCATCTGTGAACATTCGGCACGCAGGTGATTTGTTGCCTGCGCTCTGCAACTGGCACACCTGTGCTAAAGTGATGCGCATTACACACAGCTGTCTTGAATATCCAGCAGAACTACCTCTTGTGAATAGAATATGTTGCCTACATTATAAATAAGTAAATTTGACACGTTTATAAGCTCCCTGTTTAGATTTCCACTGTCTGCCTCACATAGAAGAATGATTAAGGCAAGTGTATCCTGTCTTACTTCACTCCAACTGATGCTCACCCGAATAGTGTTAATGTAAAGATTAGGTTATATTTGTGACTAGGTTATCTTAATGCATATGTGTGTTTTGATTCTTGACCTGTGTTCAATAATCCTAATGATAAACTCCTAAGCCTTAACATAAACTTGACCCTTAAATACTGGATTTCTGTTGACACCTGGCTGGCTTTTTATGGAAAAACATTTGCACAGTACATTGTCATAGCAGCACCTGCACTCTTGTAATTGTGTTTGGATAGCATATTCAGCCTTAAAGTCACAGCTGTATCATATCCATTGTACATGTTGTAAGTACGTTGTAAATACTGTCTGCCAACTTGTTTTGGATATTTGATCCTCCACTAATTTAAGTGCATTGTAACATTCCAAAATCTCTTGTCCTTTTTGATAAACACACTGTAATTTAATTTAACTGTTGCCAAGCTATGTGTTTTATTTGCAGTTTGCGCGTAACTGCCTTATTAGAGTGCATCAAATATTTACCTAGTCTGTGTGGAGAGCTGGGTCTCTTCATGCCTGGCCCATTACAGTGCTCTCATTGTACTTTAGAAATATCTTGTATTGGCACACTGTTCCCCAGGAGCCATGCTGTCAGCCACAGGCACGTCACAACAGGAATCTCTAATCCCCTTTATAATCTCACCCAGAATGATGAACTGAAGGAGACAACTGACATCATTTGACATCCTTTGAAAAGGGCTTTACTGTTCCCTAACCATAACAAAAATTCCTCCCTTTCAGAACCAGAAGACAGATTCCACAATATTCCTCACTCACACAGTAATGCAAACGGTCAACCGGCGTCCAAGGCTGGATGCTTTATTGGTTCAATCTGTTCAACTCAAAAATCAGAAAACATGCTGCTTAGAGGCCAAGCCCATAATTAATTAACACGTTGCTCTCAGAGGACAGCCTTGTTTAAAGTTTTTCAGAGGTTGAATTTGTAGCTGTGAAAGGTTTTCAATAGAGTAAGTACAGGTAGAGTATAGAATATATAATGCATAGAGGTCAGTTGTATTATTTTGCTTTATACAGTATGTTTTCATTTCACAAAACCCCATCAGTCTTTCATTTGACCCTTTTAGAAGCATCCTTTCCTTATTAGTTCCAGCTCTGTGTCTGATTTCTGGTTCCAAACTTACATCAGAGGGAATGTCAACGATCAAACATTTGAAGCCCTAATTCTTTCCAGCCTCTTACCTCATCTGGTTTCTTTTACAACTTTTTTTTTTAATATATGGCCAACTCCAGGGCACACTGTTTATACATCTCCATAGAGTGGGATGAGTGCATCTTGTTCAAATAGTGGCTCAATTTGTACGCACACTTCATGTCAGGGCTTACGGCACGTGATTTATGCTTCTCTCCGCTAGGTCACTACATAGTGGCAGAGAAGCAGCAGAGTTTTAAGCAGGTGTGACTAGAGGCCTTTTCCAGACTAACTGCCTACTGCAATTCTTAATAGGGAATAAGGATCAATATGTGCACTGACTGTTGTATAGGGTAAAGCAGGTCATGTTAATGTGTGTGTTTGGGGGGGCAGCGATGCAGCCGGGCAGCTCTAAGCATGTCAGTTAATGACGAACACTGCAAAGAGATTTACGACAGGCTGCAGACACCAGGGATTAAACACAAAGCCAAACTGAGGAATGCAGGTATAAACCACACGCACAACCCTTCCTCCTTTCCTGCCTTGCACAATTTCCCTCCCTTTATATTTCACCCACATCTCGCCCTTCCTGCTGCGCATCTGTCTTCACTGTTAACATCACTGTCAACTTCATTTGTTAGCTAAATGGAAAATGAAAGTTTCATTTTCCTAATTAGTTTTTCCCTCACACAAGAAAGCCAATTTTTAACCAGGGACCATGCCAGCTATAATCACACTAATGGTGGATATCAAAGAGGTTGTTGAATCACCCTTTTAACTGTTCACATATGTTCCTCCCTCACTCTTTTTGCCTAGCAATCTCAAGGGCCCCCCACCATTTAACCTAGTGGCAACAAAATCTCCATGCGCATAACTTTGTGACGTGGTCTAATGAGTGCAACCTGTCCTAGCTTGTGGCACCAGTGCAGCAGGTTATTATGCAGGATATGGCCGCTGTAGTTATGCCCTTATACATACCAGTGTTGTGCGGTTCCTTCCAGATGTGCTTGTTTTTTGAGTTAGTAGGCTGAATCACAGGCTCAGACATTCATACAGCCAGGGGCCCACAGCAGGCCTGAGCACAGACCCCAGGTACTCAAGCTGATGTTCTTCTTTGTGCACATTGCAAACATTCCAGAGGAGCCGAGGGAGGATCATCTCCATGGACACACAAACGCACACAAGACACTTCTCAGGCAGGCGAGTAGAAGGAGACCCAGCTGTGTACATAAACCGTTGTCAAAGTTGGCTGAGATCCTTTTTCTTCATTTTTGAAAAACTACAATGAAGTCAGGATAATCAGTAGGTCACATCAAAATAATTTTTTTCACATTAACGCAACATTTTAAAGTAACAGACATTTTAGGTAATGTTCATTTCTGTGATTTTGGTGCTGAGAATTAGACAAGAACATCAAGACTAAGGTGACCAGATTTCTGAAATGAAAAAGGGGGATATTTTGGTTTGGTGGTCAGTATGTCATTAAAAAATACAATGCTATTATATATGAAATAAAAAAGGGGGACAATTTTGGTTTAATAATCTGTCAAATATAACTCTTCTGAATGAATCAAGTCATTTTGAGGCAGCTCCAGACAGGGAGAGGCCACCAAAACCAGGGACTGTCCCCGGAAACCAGGGACGTCTGGTCTCCCTAATCAAGACTACAGCCAGCAGCCAGTTAGCTTAGCTTTAAGATTGAAAACAGCTAGCCTGGCTCTGTCTAAGAGTAACAAAATTCACCTACCAGAACCTCTAAAGCTCACTAATGTTGTTTATTTAATCCACACAAAAACCGAAGTGTAAAAACAACACATAGTTTTATGCGGTTATGAGCTATCTCTTGGTCAGGAGCAGTGACTACTTGAATTTTCTGCTAGTAACATGGCTATCTCACGCTGATGATAAGACTGACAAGTTTGACACACACAGCCTGTCCCCACCAGAAAAACAACCACCTAGGTTGTTTGTTCTAGCAGCTTACTACAACCCATATTTATTGTGTTGTGTGTTATGTTTATTGTCGCGACCTCTAGAAGCCGTTTGACAGTAGCAAAGGACGAAGTCAGGTGACGTAGTATAAAAAGCAAAAAAGTAAGTATAACGAGGTGGATGGATTGATGGATGAGTCAAACTCAGGACTTTCACACAGGAGACTGGCGTTTGAGTCCCGTGTGAAACCAAGTCAATGTTGACTTATTTAGCGTTTTAAGTTAAATAGCGTTACTGACTTACGTTACATGAGTTACAGTAAGTTGCGTGACTTAAGTCGTGTGATTTACTCGTGACATACCCAACATACTTATTTTAACCCAAACCTCAATGTATTCCTAACCTAACCAAGTAGTTTTGTTACCTAAGCCTAACCAAACTGCGAACGTTTCACAACGTTAACAACGTCATGTGATCATGTGATTTACCTGGTATGACTTAACATTTTTTAACATATTTATCAGGTATGATGACATTTTGGAAGCACACTCCCCTATAAAACTGCCTGTTTTTTTTTACACTTGTTTGTGTAAAAGCAAGTTATAACATTGTAATTTGTTATGTTTGAAAAGAGCCAGGCTTGCTGTTTCGCTGTTTTCAATCTTAATGCTAAGCTAAGAGGCTGCTGGCTGTAGCCTTGTATTGATCAGAGAGTCACAGGAGTATCAATCTTCTCACCTAACGCTTGCCAAAAAATAACCTGCAACATTTTGATACTTTTGTAAAAATATAAAACATTTACACCAAACTAATTTGCATGATTTAAAGTATAAAAGTGCTTTGGACAAAAAAGTAAAAGTGGGTGTTTTGCCAAATACCAAGTGACTAACAGACTTAAACTGTCCCTTTTCATGTGGGTCTGCCATGTGTGAGCGGAGGGACATAAGTGGCATTCTTTCATTGCTACACAGTGCAGGCAACTTCCTGCACATGACTGAACGATTTCATTATGAAACACAACACATACTAGGGGGAGAGTCGCTTAGTCACAGCTGAGTGGATATGGGCCATGCAGGGTAAACTGGGGGGTCTGGGTAACGACTGGGGGGTATTTGGCAGTGTAAGGGCTGGGCAGCCAGGCTGTGGTGTGCCTGGAGGGCTGGCACAAAGCCTGGCTTTGTTCAAACCAGGGGTGAAAGCATAAGGTCAGGGCCTTTGGGCATTCTTCCTTAAGACAAAGTAGAAGGTAATGAATAACAGAGACATGCGAGAAAAGGGCTGCACATACAGCTAATGAGAGAAGAAAGAAATGTGTAAAGTATGGTGACGTCTGTTTTCATCTAAGCATGTGTATGTCCAAATTAATTTAAGTCAAATCTATCGGTCTTCTTTGACTTTACCTAGTATGTTGTTTTTAAAATTAAAGCTAGTTTTTTGCAGTTGATGACTATCCACAGGTGTGAGTTTCGTAGTCAGATTTCATCACATGCGAGTTTAATGCAAGTGTGCGCACCTGGAAACATCACAAGGGACACCCAGCTTCGTTAATCTCTGCCATGTGGGTTTAGTTTTGAAGTCAGCAGTGAAAGCACACACAAGTGTTTGATAAATCAGAGGGAATAAAATTATAAAAAGTGAAGCGATGGGTAATGTGTCAGGGTGATGAGTTTGTGTGAAAAACTATGACAGATTTCTTCTTTTCTTAAACAAGAGATTTCCCTAAACTCTGATGACCAATGTCTTTGGCCAGTAAACTTGCATGGTGGGAAATTGTTTTTCGCAGGGCACTGTCACAGTTAATCATACACAAGGGAGCAGACTAATACATCAGTCCAGCCTTTTCCCTCTCGCTTGCAACTGCCATTTCACTTTGTCATGACTACAGTGAGTCAGATCTTTGATGTTGACAGAAATAAATAATCAAATAACACAGACATATGCCATTGTTATATTCCTCATCATAATTTTATGTTATGATTAGATGTGGAGCAGTACTATAGCCTCCAGTGTGTATACAAATAGACATAGATCTGCATATAATCCATTAAACTGTTTTTGAAACAAGAACTGTTTAACCTAAATTTGAATTCCCTCTTTTTTCCCTTAATACGATTTGCTTCATGCCAGTCAAAGCATACATAAAAATAAATCCTGATTAATTTCACCACTTAACTCCATCCTATTTGTTATGCTTCGTCCCTCAAGCTCTGTCTCGAAAATGTCAGACCAGATTCTGTAGAAAGTCGACTTCATCGACTTCATGTAAAACATTTGCATTTTTATATCAGAAAAGAACAGGTCTACCGTCATATTTCAGAATGTAAGATACT